TTGAGATTGGCGTGCAACATTTGCTGGTATCCTTCCCCATCTTCTTTCCATTTATTCCATGTCCCTTTTCTACTGCTCGTGTATATTGTAACTTTTAGTAGTTACAATATATGCGAGTAGCAACTTGACTCTTCTCTCAAAAAAATACATGAGGTGCATCTTGGGATGCTTTTTGGAAACTAAACATTCACTCCTTCACTCCCTGATCCACGCTCTGATCCAAAATTAGTTTGAACAAATGTTTAGATAAATAAGGCAGACAGACAGACAGACAGATGATAGATAGATAGATAGATAGATAGATAGATAGATAGATAGATAGATAGATAGATAGATAGATAGATAGATAGATAGATAGATAGATAGATAGATTATATCTAACTATTCCATAACTACATAACAGATAACTATTCCAGTTATAGACAACAATTGCAGACATCCTGCATCTTTCTTTGGCAATCTAATGGCGTTTATGGAGGTGAACTTTGTATTATTACTATTTTTATTTTTATTTATTTATGTTTGTTTGTTTTTGTTTGTATCATCTTGTGTGATCCATAGAAGAAAGTCATGCAGGTTTGGAACGATATGATAAAAGATGACCGAATTTCCATTTTGGGGTGAACTATCGTTTTAAAGCAAATTAATATTTGCTGAAAATTTTGTCTTGGCCATCCAAGAGATGTGTTTTTTTTTTTTTCTTCTTCATTGGAACAGATTTGGAGAAAATTAGCATTACATTACACTTGCTATATTGCATTTGATTACTAATGGATCCTCTGCAGTGAATGGGTGCCGTCAGAAGTCCAAACAGCTGATCAGAACATCACAATAATCCACGAGTAATCCACACCACTCCAGTTCATCACTTAACATCTTGAAGTGAGAAACTGCATGTTTGTATCAAAACCTTTGCTTTTGCAGCTACAGTAAATTCCAAGTCCTCTATCCACAATATTACATTCTCGAGTGAAAAATTCATCTTGCCTGAATAAGGAGAGAAATATGCACAGATCAAGCACCATTTACAAGGGAAGACAAGTCTAAAACAGTTCTAAACAAATAAGTTGGTGGATTTTGTAGTGAGAGGACAACAGGGCAAAAAACGTTTTTCTAGTGGAACTCAATTATGGATTATGGACTCGTATTTTGGCCAGAAGCGATTGTTTAAAGTTAAAATGCCTTAATGATGGGTTTGTTTTCTTAATAATTATGCAGCTTTTTGCTGACATTAATTGATGAACTGGAGTCATGTGGTTTACTTGTGGATTATTGTGATGTTTTTATCAGCTGTTTGGTCTCTCATTTTGATGGCACCCATTTACTGCAGAGGATCCATTGTTGAGAAAATGATCAAGCGTTAATTTTTTTGTTTATATTTAAAGATTACTTAAGTACATACAGTACATATGCAACATTTAATGTATTAAATTTTAGATCAAATTACCTAAAATTCAGTCTTTTGCTCATTGCACGTGATGACCTTATGACTTAGGACAGATTTGCAGTGCATAGTGACAGACGGGCCCTTTTATTTCGGGAGCCTTGGCCCTATTGCACCCTCGTCTTGAGCTATAGCTCTGGTTTGCCAGTTTATGTGCTTATGTCGAGGAGATTCCTCATCACTTCAACTCTGTCTCATAAGCCTGCGAGTTGTTTTGGAGGCTCTCTAGCTCCCCTCTCATGTCATTTCCACTCTGGTATAATGGCTATAGTGGCACAGTTGGCACGCAGGAAGAGCGAGACTTGTGAGCTCGGTGGCTGGGGGAGATCCTCCCCGCGGTGGCTGTGAAGCAGCCTTTGATGTGGACGTAGCCAGCAGAGCGAGCTTCTTGGCCAGAGAGACTGGATAGAGGTTGCCCTCTGATCTCTGTCACTTCAAAGCAGGTGTTCCTTCTTTCTCAGTTCCCCATCCTTTCATCCTTTTACTCTCTTTACCCTTCCTCTCACTTACTACCCGCTCTCTCTCATCGGCTCAGACAAGATTCCCACACAGTGGCGACAATGACTTCACAACTGATGGACGTTTCGGAGACCTTTTTTCAGACGTTCACATAATGCTTATCTGTAATTTCTCTCTCTGCCTCTCCAAATTGTTTTTTTTTTCCAGATTCACACACACACACACATTAAAAACCTCCTCCTCTCCTTTTTGTTAGAATCATCATTTGACATTTATTTTGTTGCTGTTCTTGATATTACAGGAATTCAGATGAGATGTTTAGTCACACGTATCTGGCTGTTTTTGAAACAATATTGCAAATCACAGTGTGGCAATAACAATTATGAGAACACAAACATTTATGTGACATTAAAATAGTGTGTATTGTAAAGGGAATTGGACTGAATAGAAAAGTTTGTCATGGTGAAATGCATGCACTGTATGTCACACAAATGTCACCTTAAAAATACACCAACTTAAAGGTATAGTTCATCCAAATCTGATCTGCTATAACAATTTGAAAGATATATTTTTATGCATATAATACAAACATACCAAACAGTCCAAAAGCAGACTAAAATTCCCATTTAATGTTTAGGCATGTAAGAACTTATTTGTTTGCATATACACTACCATTTAAAAGATTTGGGGTCAGGAAGAATTGATTATTTTACTTTATTTTATTATTCAGCAGTGATATATTAAATAAAATAATAATAAAAAAAAACGTTTACATTATAAAAAGCACCTTTCTACTCATCAATGAATCTTAAAATGCTTTATGGTTTCCACAAAAATATTAAGTAACACAACAGGATAATAATAATCATCATCATCTTCATCATTATAATAATATTAAATGTTACTTACTTGTTTTCTGAAAGATCATGTGTCACTGATGACTTGAGTAATGACTGCTAAAAATTCAGCTTTTCCATCACTGGAATAAATTACATTTAAAAATATATTAAAATGTAAAATAGATATTTTAAATTGTAATAATATTTCACAATATTACTGTTTTACTGTATTTTTTATCAATAAATTCAGCCCTGGTGAGCATAACATTTTTTTTTCAAATGAATTGTGTAATGCATTAAAGTACTGTTATTTTATTTTATTTTAATTTTTTTGCATTCGAGTATGCAGACCTTTTCTATAGAATATCTATCTGCAATTGTTTTGTTGCATCCCACTTATAGTAAATACTGTATACCTCATTTTCCCCTTTTATTGGCTTTATTTTCTTAACCTCTTCTTGTCACAATCCTCATAGATTTTCCATTGTTCTGTTATTATGTTTTATTTATGTGTGTGCGTGGATGAGAAGCCACTCCACATGGGTGGGGAGGTTAAAGCAGGTAAAGAAGTAGATCAAAAGGCTGCAGTGCCCTTCACTCTTATTTTATTGGACTGTTCTGAGGTCTTCGTGTGTCAGCACTGGCCTCAGATCAGCGCTGCAGACCCAGATGGGCAGAGACAGGTCATTTGAGATCAAACTTACAGTTCAGACCCTGGTGACGTGACCGGGAAGCCTTAGGCACAGTGAGTGAAATGAGTAATTGTGATAGATAGCTAGATAGAGAGAGAGAGAGAAAGAGAGAGTAATTGTGAGGTAATTGTGCAGACAGTGGGAAGTGCTTAGCAACGTTTTCAAGTAGAGCGACTGGCTGGTCTCTTACCAAGTTACGTAAAAGCTGATTCATTCGTTTTGGTCAGTTGCTTACAGAATCGTTCACATTCTATTGCACAGATGGACTGCGACTGCTGATGGGGACAAGTCACAGATTTAAGGAATATCACACAAGCAAGTGTGCTGTTATACTGAATATCAGTTGGAATATTACAAAGTAAATATAAAAATAAGTTTGTTTCATATCTCATTGACATTTTTTTTTAAAGCATTATCCTTAATTTATGCTTAGAACAATCTGTCAAATGATTAAGAAACACACTCACACCTATATGTTTGTTTGTTTATTTATTGTTTTTGAAAGAATTTGCTTATGCTCAGAAAGGCTCTATGCATTTGATCAAACATACAGTACAAACAATATTACTACAATTTAAAATGACTTTTCCATTTCGATTACAGTTTAAAATGTAATTCATTCCTGTGAGTGCAAAGCTGAATTTTCAGCTGACATTAATACAGTCTTCAGTGTTAATGATTGTCATTATTAACTATTGAAAACAGTTTTTGCTGCCTAATATGTTTGTGGTAACTTACACATTTTTTAAGGATTCTTTTATTTTACATTATTATTCTTTTATTTGTTTTTTTACATTTTGTAACATTTGTCTTTATAATCACTTTTGGTCAATTTAATGTATCCTTGCCAAATGAATATTAAGCAGCAAAGACTGTTTATTGTAGTGTAGTGTAGCGTAGCGTAGCTACCACACAAGATGAAAATGTAAGTTTGATGTTGGATAACAAGCACTGAATACTAACCCACGTCTAGTGACAAGGAATAATGCCTCCCTAACTCTCATTTACTTAAAGGTTTCTTGTTTGCGCTCTGAATAAAGAAAATTTCAGATTAAAGTGATGAGCTATGGCCTTTTATGGATTGCCTAGTTGGGTGATTAATGAACCACTTCACTTCCAAACTTAGGCTTGCTCTTAATTAAAACTTTAAGTCTGACCACAAATCATAATTCACATCACCCAAACCTCAGGACAATTTTATAATAAATTGTACAGTTTGCATTGAAACCAGTTAATGTTTTAACTGGTTGGAGAGATTATGCCAGGGAAGAAGCAGTTTGCCAGTACATCCACCAATTTATGTATATATATATATATATATATATATATATATACAGTGGGTGATCTGAAACATTAAAGTGTGACAAACATGCAAAAAAATAAGAAATCAGGAAGGGGGCCAACACTTTTTCACACCACTGTATATATATATATATATATATATATATATATATGAAAATACAACAAATCATCTTGTATCTTTTTGTACTCGGGTCAGATATCAGAATTGTGTCCTTAATGTTGACATGCTTTGTGACCTTTGACCTTTTTCTGTTATTCTTTCAGAGATCTCTGTTTCTCTGCTGTGATCTCTCCTCGACTTCCCAGCAAAATAGAGTCTGTAAATGGAGGCCCACCTGTGCTCACTCCCTTTCTTCTTATCTCTGTCTATACTTCTGTCAGATTATGTGTTTGTTTGTTTTTTGTGTATGCATGTATGGAAATGTGTGTGTGTGTGTGTGTGTGTGTGTGTGAATGTTCATTAAAAGTGTCTATTTTTAATCAGTGCTTTGTACTGTAATGTGCAATTAATTGCTCCTTACCTCTTCAAAGTGGACTCGTCGAATCAAAGAACAAACTCCAAATAGACTAAATGTTGCTGTAGGCTTTTATGCCGACTTTAAAATATATTTTCCATAATTTATCGCTGATTCTTGAGTACAGAGACAAAACTGGCTGTGGATTTGCTTGCCTGTAATTCAATTTGGATGTTATATATTGTTTCTTCACAATTTGTATGACCAAGCTAACATATCAAGGTTATGAAAAAATATATAAGCACAATAAACGAAATGGTACATTTATTTGAAGATCATCTGATTTATTTATTTATTTATTTATAAGTCCATTTTTTTCTGTGTTTTGTCCCATGTCTCAAGAATCAGTCTTATGCTAGTTCTCATAGCAGCTCATATTGATCTTTTGCTACTTACACTGTGTTCAAAATGTGTATATTTATTTTTTTAGGGTGCAAATATATAATCTGTGACAAAAGTGTAACAGTGACATTCTTTTTAGGAATATTCTTTATAAGGCAATTTATTTGTCATATAGAAACATAACCGGTGTATATTTCTCTTTAAATATTGTAACCTGCTGTCTGTGTTTACCAAAAACTGGTATTATAAACTGACATTTGAATGCAGCAGGTAGCCTACCATTATAGAACACCAGTTGAGAGAGAAAACTGAGTTATTGTTATCATTTGCATAACCATAAAATCATAAATAGTTTTTTTTTTTGTTTAATGAAATACTATTTCATAGGTTCAGTATTGTCTTGTATTGCACTGCTCTTAATATCCATTATTTAAGTTGATTTTTAATTGTTTATTTGCTGGCTTTTATTAAACAGTACAATGTAAAAAAACAACTAGTCTCTCCATTTGTTTCACTGTCTCATTCGCACACACTGCCAAAGCTCATAAAACTTCAGCAGATTGTGATGGAAAGAGAACTGACATACAAATAATAGAAATAATAGGTTTGTACTGGCTCAGTCATTCACCTGCTAATCAATATGAGACAGGAACTTCATGGCACACTATTCATTCAGAGACAGCAACAAGCTCACTACGCTTTCCCCGCAGAGTGATTATTTTATCTGTCGGATGATCTCTGTAGTGAGCTGAGAAAGTCTACATAGAATTTGAATGGGGTATAGTTAAAGCTTTTTCTGTCATAGCAGTTTCGGCTGGTATATCATTGATGGCTGCTACAGAATGTTAATGCTTAGCTGCTGTGTTTATGGATTGCTGTAGAAGCTGGTTAAAGGAATGCGATGTTACGTACACAAATAGGTCTGCTTTGCTTTTATTCAAGGATTCACCTCCTCTTTTATATAATACATATTAATCACGATGGAACCAGGTAAGTGTGGGGTCAGTAAGGTTTATTTATATATATTTTATTTATATTTTTTTAAAGAAGTATATTACTATTTTTTTTATTTAACTTTATATACTATGTTGACAAAAATAAATTTTCAGCAGCCATTACTCTATCCTTATGGAAGCTTGTTTTTATGACAGGGAAATAAATAAATGGTGATTCTGACTTTTTTTCTCACAATTCAAACTTTTTTCTTGCAATTATGAGAATTCAGAGAAATAAAGAAATAAAAAATAGATAAATAAAAATAAACTGTTAACTGTGAAATGTTAACTGAATTACTAGAAAGCCCATCCAAATTGTTAGATAAAACATTGTAATTACCTTTTTTTGTTTTGTAGAAATGGGCTTCCATACTTCAGTGTCACATGATCCTTCAGAAATCACCCTAATATACTGATTTAGTGATCAGGAAACATTTCCTTTTATTATCAGTGTTAAAAACAGTTGTGCCTAATATTTTTATGGAAAGCAGATATTTTTACAGGATTCTTTCATGAAGAACAGCTTTTTTTGTAACATTATAAATGTCTTTACTATCACTTTTGCTTAAGATAATGCATCGTTGCTTAATAAAAGTATTAATTTCTTTCCAAAAAAATTTTTTTTTTTAAATAATAATAATCAGTAAAAGCAATAGCCTAAATATCCCTGCTCCAACCAGACATCAGTCAGTCATGATAGCCTGCTGTGCTTGTTATTAAAAATCACACAACTTGTGAAACACTAGTATATTGTGTGCAATAGCTGCCAATTCCAGTGTGTCAAACGATCTTTTAATTAGTCCTTTTGCTTCACTTGTTGAGAGCAATTAAAAATGAGGAAGCTGTCCCACCGGTCAATCAAACAAATAAATCTTACAGACCCCAAACTTTTGAACAGTAATGTATGTGTATCCATATTTTAAAAAATTGAAAATATTTTGCCGATATTTATCTTCTCTATAAGAAGACTAAATCTAATTTTGTCCCTCAAAAATCCCTTGTGACAACCTAGAAGAAATATGGATGCTAACATGCTTACTATTCTTCCTAAATCCATCTTTGTTTGGGTGCTAAAATGTTGGCTAACTGGCAGCAACAGTACATCATTAGCTTCTCTTGGCTGTCCCATTTGCAACTCTGTTAGCGGGGGATAAATCTCTGCGTTATTACTCCTCTAGGCCTCATGAATCAGCAAGCTCTCTATAGTGAGAATTAAAGTCTTTCTAATGGGCCGAGCTACTGCAACATATTGCCATGTTTGCAATCACAATAGCTACCAAGGCTTGATCAAATTTTGCAAAACAAGTCATCGGAGGAAACACAAATATTAGAAAATAATCTGCCATAGGCAATTTGTTAACTTTGTCAGGAACCATGCTGTAAAAAATCTTAGTCTTAGATGGTTCAAGCCCATCTAGTTGGTCTCACAGACTAATATAACAGAGCAGAATCCCACTGAATACATAAACATGATTACACAATTTCAAACTGTCTCATTTATCTTTCCAAAGTGTGCACTTAATAGCTACAGCCGCATTAAAAGGACATTTAGTAAACATGTCAATGGGGAACATTTGTCACAGCCCTGCGTTTCCATCAACGCTTCCATCGTGACGGCAGTCACTTACACACACATAAATGCAGACAGTGTGGTCAATAATAATGCTGTTTCCACTTCTTAGGCAATTGACAAATTTGCTCTTGACAGATACAGGATGGAATAAGAAAGAGAACGGAGGTGTGTTTGTTATCGATGATTTCTAAAATGCCTCTAACTGGCATTGATCGCCCAAAAGAACTGTCCGTGTGTGAGTGTTTACGCATCGGGTGGTGCAGTTTGGCATCAAGCCTTTGACAGGTTGCTTCTTATCACTGACATATGGATAAATGTCTTCCACCACTTCATAACTTCTCACTGTCCAGCCTGCTCACTCACCGCTGCTTTTTAAAGAGCAGCAAAATGTCAGGAATCCCAATCCATAAGCATAATACATAGGCGCCATGTCATAGCATGCAGATTGTTTTGGAGTGCATATTGGTAATTTATGTTGTAGATTTGACATTGATTGATTTTTGCATGTCTAATAACGTTCAAGCTTAAATTAGAGGCAAAATAGCTAGTCATATTTTGAGGTTTGGGGTGGTCGTAATTGTTTCAGGATGTAGACTGTTTTTGCTCATAAAAAGATACCTGCTTTTATTGAGTCACCATTAAAAGGCTCTGAAAATACTGCGGCACATCAAATGTCCACATAGTTTGGGCACTATTGATATGCAGATGTGGAGGACAAATGCAGTCTGGCAATTATTCGAACTCGTACACAGCCTTCTGACAGGGACACACCTGAGAACTCTGCACATTTGAGAAGCTTTTCATAGACTTTTGAAGAAATTGTAAACATATTATTTGATAACTCTGAAAATAGGTCTCTCTGGGAAGAGGTGTTTTCATAATCACATCTTGAGGATGTCAGCAGAAAAGCAAGTATTATGCAGTTGGACAACTAGCAATCGAGAGTTCGTAGTGTATTATTATGTTAACACGGGATGACATCTTTGGCATCACTCTGAAATATCACTGTCAAAATTAAATGCAATCTGTCATTTCAGTCTTTTTATTTAGTTTTCTGAAATAGGGTAACCTACCTTTGGTTGTCTGAGGAAAGTATAATCCTGATTGTATTTATGACATAAATAATTCACATGGTCTAGAATATTTGGAATGTAGAATATAAATAAATAAATACATTTGTGTTGTATTTAATGTTAATAAATTAATATTATGTAAAATATTTACATTTGAATTTAATTGTCTTTATAAACATTTACACATAGTTATATAATTTATTACAGCAAAGCTTTTTTGAATATGTTTCTTGAACTGGTTGCCAAATGAACAACCCAGCCTGTAAATAGACTTAGGGAAAGTGGAGACGAAAGTACCATTTTTCAGAAAAATATAATTTAAAAAGATTATTTTGTAGACAGATATATATTTTTGCTGCAGCCAATAACTCAGAAGTGTGGTCTATCAATACTAGGTGGTATTTTGTACAAATGTAGAAAGACTAAAGTATCATTTCACTTTGAACATAAGTTGCACATTGTTACTTTCGACTCCGTCGGTTGGGCCGAAAGTAACACACAGGTGGGTCAAAAGTAACACAACAATACATGCTAGATTTTTTGTGTTACTCTTATTTGTATTAAAGATACCTGACTGTGACCTTGTTAATATGTAACTGCAAAAATATTTTGTCCTTTATCTTTGCAAAAAAGTAATTAATTCTAAATTTTATTCAAAAAGTTCATTTTAAATTTCAGTTTCATCAAATGTTTCAAAATCCGACTGTACACACTTGAATTGTTTAGAAGATTTATTTATTTATTCAATTTATTTTTAGAAAAAAAATGTTTTTAACAGAATGAACAATATGAAAATTTAATTAAATTAACATAATATAAATTCTCAACATAATGTAACAGTAGGCCAGTTCATGTTTCCATACAGTTGTTTTTATGCATAAATTCAAAATGTGCATAAAAACATCTGGAAACACTGCAAATTCATAGGTGGAGGTGGAAAATCTAAGGTATGGCTAA